TATATATATATATATATATATATATATATATATATATATATGGCTGGATTGCCTCGGCAATGACGCGGGAAGCCTCTCGAACACGAATGTAACACGGAATAGTGTTGAGTACAGAACGAAAGAAGCAAGAAGAGTGCGAAAGAATACAAAGGCCGGCCGATTCGGCGTGTCTGCCCCCAGATTTTCTATTCCAGAAAAAAAAAACAAGACAGAGAGGTGACAGCGGGGGACGCGCCACTTGAGAAGCCGCTACTTCTTCATGTTCCACACACACACGGAAGAACTTTCTTGCTTCTACGTCGCAACTGCGGCCCGCCGCTCGCGTTGCCACCGCAGAAGAAGACAACACGAACGAGAAACACGGAGCGTGAGAAGGCACGTGAAGGAGGAAAGCCAAATGAGGCGTTCACACACGCATTTAAACCTCTTGTGCAAAGCCTTCTCGTAAATGAAATGTAAACGGCAAAAGCGCATGCTATTTTTTTTTTGTTTTCACGCTCAGCAATGTGACGACGACATGCAAGGGCCAGAGTATATAGTTGTGAATATTGTGTTCTACCGTTCAAATCAACTCGTAGTTAGAAAATGACTGACGCTGGGGTCGTAGGGGGGACGCATGGCAACAAACCAAACGAGCAACGGACAAGAGAGAGAGAAAAAAAAAAACAGAAGTGTATGAGAAGCAGTTGTCTGAAGTGTATTGAGGGGGATTATTGAAGCAGGAAAGATACAGAAAACAAAAATACTTACAAGCCACCAGCAGCGTTCACCTACACGGAGACACGGGATAGAAAAGCAAATACGAATAGCAGAAACTACTCACCCGAAAAGAACCGTTATTTTGTGCGTTTGAGAATTCACGACGGCGTCAGCGGATATTAGAATACTCCTTCGACTTGGCGTACGCTGCGCTCTCCAGGCGTTGAAGCTCCCGCAGAAGGCGACGCTCAATCGTTGTGGCGAAACGGATGCGCGTCACCAGCGGCCACGTTCGGCACTGCGCACGTGAGGAAACGTAGCTGATGTACTCCGCTGAAGGGTTGTTCACCAAGTTCAAGTAGTCTGGCACGGCTGTCAGGAGTGACTCCACCGGGTGAATGGAGACATCACCGCCGTAGTCCTGCGCGAACGCGAGAAACAGCAGCTCAAAGGGTCCGTTGATGGACAGGAAGCGCAGACTAAATAGCACCGTCAGCAGCCACCCCCAGAGCGCCACCGTCGCAAACCACATCGTTGTGAGCACTGAAGAACTGTTTGTCACCACCAGATAGGATGGAGGAGGCTGGAGAAAGGGAATCACATGCGGGTTCACCTGACTCACAATGAAGTAGTTCACACCGAAAAGCTGCGTCAGGAGACGGCGTGGAACGTCTTGGGCGACGCTGCCATCACACCACAACTCACCCGGTAAGTACGGCGCAAAGCTACCCGCAGCGGAGGGCGGCTTTTCGATGAGCTGCACCGCCGTGAAGAGCCCCGGCAGTGCGCAACTGGCGCTGACGGCGCTCCAAATCACCACGTCCGGCGCCGTCACGTAGTTCAGCAGTGCATGCCGATCCGCGTGCGTGCCCTCGTGCTGACTTCGCGTGACAGACACGTTCAGCACCTTCCCACTGAGCTCGAAGGCTTCGCGAAAGGTGAGGTCGCCGATCTGGCCGCGCATACACTCCATGAACGTGCGCACATCCATGAGGAAGCCCGTCTTGAAGAAGCGATGCAGCTTGTCTCCCAGAGTGACGTCTTCGCCAAAAGGGGACATCTGCATCGCCTCGGTCGACAGCACATGGGACTGGATGAAGGAGTGCAGCTCGGCGGGGGTTTTGGAGCAAATGAGTGACGCGATGATCGAACCGGCTGAGGAGCCGCTGAGAATGTCTGGCATGACACCCGCCTCGTAAAGAGCGCGGGCCACCCCGGCGTGGTACGTGCCCATCGACGCTCCACCGCTGAGCACGAGCGCGGTACGGCCAAAGGAGCGCAGCACCTGGCGCAGGATGCAGATGCGACGCTGCGTGGGCGGCGACGGACGCGGAGAGGGCAGCAGAGGAGAGAGTGTCACTGATGCACTGCTGTCCATGAAGCGATGTAAGGAGGCACAGTATGTGTCGATGTGGGCGAGGAGTGCGCTTTCAGCGTGCGGCAGTGAAGCCGGCGATGTGATGCGGGGACTCGAAAAGGAGTCAGTGGCACCGCTGCGTACCGCGGCCCGTACAGTGACCGGCTCCTGCGGCTTCGTTAGTACACCGAGGGAGATGAGGGACCGGGAGTTCGGCTGCGAACGCGCCTCGCCCTTTCGTTTGTCAAAGTCCGCTTCAGCCGGCGCAACGGAGGACCGAGGAGCAGCACTGGCGGAGCGATGCGGCACATCCTCTTCCCCCATGCAACCATCCACCTCGCCAGCGGAGGCAAAACCAACACACAGGCGAGAAGCGCCACTCCTGGTCCCTGCCAGAGCGCTACCGCCACCTCCACCCCCGACGCTCCTCTCCGATGTGGGGGCGATGGTGGAGGCCGCGCTGTGAGGGTGCGGAGAACAAATGTCGCCTCCTGCGTCGCTGGAGTATCGACTCATGGAGTGAAACCGAAAGACCTTGCTGGCGGCAGATGGCGGCGGAGAAGCGTGCCGCGCAGCTTCCACGTTTCCGCGTGCCGACAACGTCCGCCACCACGCGTGTTGGATTTTTGCCGTGATGTCCACCGTCGGCAGAGTCGACGACGGCAGCGGCTTCACTCCTGCTGCTGCTGCCGCCGCTGCTGACGTCATTGCCTTGGACGCCTCCCACTGAAAAGAAAAGGGAAAGTGAGGCGCTTTGTCCCCGCTGCGTTGCGACTGCAGGGCGTCCATGCGCATCCAGCACGGACGGAGTTGATGCGGCGTCGCGGCAGCGGCAGCGGCAGCGTTGGCCTTCCCCGCCTTCTTAGCCTTTGTCGGCGGGCTCTCCCCTGCTGCGCTGTCGCCGTCGGAAGGGGCTGCTGTGGCATAGGCCACTATGAGCTCCTCCACACACGTTGTGTAATCCTCAATGCAGTGCTTCGGGCAGTTGAAAAAGTTGTAGATGGATGGATCCATTAACCCGTGTGCGTTGCGCTTCAAGAGGGAGCAGAGAAACACCTCCATCGCGGCGACATTGTTCGTCTCGACGAGCTGCTGTGCGGCCAGTGCATCGGCCAACAGACCCACCGCATCACACTTGACCAACGGCGGTGCCTCCTGTGCCCACTGCGCTACACCGCAGTAGTGGTCAAGACTCGCTGCCGCGTCGACAAAGGTCGCGTAGTCTTCGGTGGTGTTCATGACGGATAGAAAGCGCCGCGTCGTGCGACGGAACTGCATGCGCAGCGGGAAGTCGTTGATGTACTGCAGCACCGCCAGCACGCGAAAAAGGACGTGCTGGACGAGACGGAAGATCACGGTGAGGAAGCGCATCTGGTGCAAGACACGCCACACGCCACGCGAAATGAAGCTGCTGAGGCGCACCACTCCGGGGGGTAACGACGTTTTTGTGAAGGAGGAGAACGGTGGGACAGTTGGCGTCATTGCTGTGTGTTCCCGCCGCGCGTGCCGTTTGCTTCTCCCGCGGCGAGGCGTGGAGGACGCCCCATGCAAAGTAGGCCGGAAGGCCGGTGCGGACGTCTTCGGCGCGCGCATTTCCCTCTGGCGGAGGCGGTGAAACCAGTTGTACAAGAAGAGAGAGAGATAGTATGTATGCAGTTGCAGAGAGGTGAAGTTCGACTGCTTGTCGCACAGCCGGGGTGATGGCTTATGCGAATGCCGGCGAACGTTACAATGTGACGTGTTGTGAGGGAGAGAGAGAGAGAAAGAGAACGCGACGTCAGCGGTGGGCCTTGCCCGAAAGAGTCGGTGCAGTGGGGGTGGTCGGGTTGCTGCGCATCGGGATTTACCTTCACCTGTAGCGACGACACTAAACAACCACAGAAGGCAGCACCGAAAGACACCATCTGCTGCATTCAGTACTAACAATAATAACAATAAAGTAGAAGAGCAGTGCGACGATTGCTTCTCTTTTCATCTGGCTCAACATGCGTTAGCAGGAGAGATTTTTTAGTGAGCGCGAGAAAGACTCACTTCAGCGGTTCATCGACGTGCGCAAAAGAACAGAAAAAAGAGACAGCCGTGGCCGAAGGTACGCGAAGCACATCTGAGCACCCCCCTTTGGAGCTCCCCCACTCAGCCTCGATGATGGTAAAGCTGAACGTCCCCGTTGGCCAATCCAGCCGCCATGATGGGCTGCAGCGGATGCCACGCAATCGACGTGACATACGTCGCAAATCCCTGCAGCACCGTCGAGGCCGTCGCACCCCCTCCCCCGCCTTTCCGAATGTCGTACACGTACACACGGTTGTCCTGGCTCGCCACCGCCACCATCTCGTTCCCGGGCGACAGCTCCATCCCAAGGGAGGGGATCGCGGTGTTGCTGTGCTGCGTGTAGAGCTGCGCAGGCGACGGCGTACGCACATCCCATAGCGCGACGGTGCTATCGAGGGCCGCCGAGGCAAAGAGATGCGCCAGAGAACTCGGCATGGTCGCGGCGTGGCGGCTGCTGCGGCCCATGGCAACACGATACACCGCGCGGGTGTGGGTGGCACCATTTGACCACAGAATCGCATCCGTCGAAACATCCAGCACCTGAATTGCCTTCTCGGAAGTGGCGAGCACGACAAGATGGCTGGCAAAGTGGTTCATTGCGCTGGCGGAGGTGACGGTGTGACCCGCGCCGACAGTGTGACTGTACACCGGTGTCTTGGAGAGCCGTGACGGAGAGGGTGAAGTTGCAATAGAAGTGACAGGAGCGGCATGGCGGCGCAGCTCCAATCTGTCCTTGGTACAGGAGAGCACAAACTTGTCCAGATAGAAAAACTGCGCATTGGTCACTGCGTTAGGTGCGTCGCCAGCTTTCTCGTTTGCAGGTCCCGTTGCGACCTCCGTAACAGGGGTATCTTGACTACCAGGTATCCACAGACGTAGTTTACCATCCGCACATCCGGTCAGCACCATCGGATGCTGGCGGGAGAGGTTGGCGTCCACCGTGGTCACCGCCGCGGGGTGTCCCGATAAGGCATACCCCACCACGTCACCTGTGCGCTTCACGCGTGCAACGGGGTACTGCAAATGCTGCGCGCTGCCGTCGCCGCCGGCGGTCACGAGGGCCTCTCCGACGGTGTCGAAGGTAGCTGCTAAGACGGCGCGTGTGTGCAGGTGGCACAGCGCACTGGTTGGTGCTTCCATTCGCTCAAACGCATACGGGAGGTTTAGGGCGTTCTTGCCGTCGACGCTGTTGTAGTGGAAACGGAGACTGTTGGCAGCTGAGGTAGGCGGGAGTCCGAACTCCTGCGCCGCGCGGTCCTTCGCCGCCGCAGCCTGCGCTTTTCGTTTGCGCTCCTGCTGCACTGACCACGGAGCATCGTTGTAGTTGCTGCCCTTGACCGGTCGTCGTACCGGCACATTCCCTCCCGCCTTGTTCATCGTGGTGGGCAGCGCAGACGACGACGTTCGTTTTGTTGTTTTAGGAGAGAGGACAGAGGGTTCGCGCTTTGCGGGGCCGTCTGTGCCGAGCCACGACGATGGCAGCGGCACACGGGCGTGTATGAGGTCGGTGGTTGCGAGCTCCTCGTCCATGTCGCGCCTCTCCGCGGCGTGCTGCGCGTCCACACACGTCGGAGCGTAATACAGTATGCCCTCCAGAACGTTTGTGTAGCACCACGAACCGTTTGGCGCACTGCGGAACACCACTTGCTCCTCCACAGTTGCGTGCGCCACTCCTGCGCCCATTTGGACCACGGGACGTTCAAAACGTGAAACGTAGGTCTCGTGTAGCTGAAACGTGTGTCGGTTGTAGTACAGTACGCCATTCGGTGTGACGATGGTGAAGAGGTGCACGCCGACCTGAGCATCGAGCACAGGAAGAGGAGGAGCGGCGACCTTCGGCAATGGATCATCGTCGGACAGAGCAAGAGCCGTAAGCGCACCTCGAGGAGGGCGGGACAGCGACGCGCCCCCCGTTCGTCGCCGTGAGCGTTCCGTCACGGTGACGGCGGCGGCAGAGGTGGGTGTACGGGAGGGCAGCACAGACGAGACATCCCACGTACGCAGCTGCTGCAGACTCTCGCCGTCCATGACACGCACCTGTCCAGAAGAAAACCCCACGAGGATAGTTGGTGCGTGGAGGGTGCTGTGACTGCACGCAAGCGCGGTAGCACGAGCCGTGCGGGTGAGCACGTGACCGTCTACGAGCACCTCCACCGCTGGCGACGACTCGCTTCGCGGAGCGTCACGGTACCCGTTCGCGTAGGTCTCGTGTTGACAGTCGCAGCGGAGTAAAAGAAGGTGGTTCGCCTCGTCGAGCACCACAAGCTGGGTAACCCCGCTAAAGCAGGCAAAGCGACAACCGCGCGTCGAGGCACCAAGCTGCGAACACTCGTACAGACCAACGCGGTCACCGTGGGCCGCGCTCACCTCGGCGGTAGACGGAGCGCAGTCTACCACGTACAATCCAAAGGCGGAGCACAAGGCGGCACAGGAGGCATCACAGTTTATGTCTCCACCCCGCACCTCTGAGAGGCGACACGGCAGCCGCTGCACTTCTTCTACGGTGATCACCACCTCCCGTTTCTCACTGTGCTCCCCATAGTCTCCGTCGTTTTCCTGCCGCTGCGAAGGTTGCCCTGCATCACCTCCACCGCCGTGCAGAAACAAAGGCGCGCTTTCCCGGCTAATTGCAAACAGCGACAAATGATGCGACGTAACGAGCAGAATTCGGTCGTCCGCTGACATCGCCATGAATTGCGCACGGCTGTCGAGCTGCAGCAGTGCCATCGGATCTGGCACCTCCTCGGCGGCCGTGTCGGTGTTGCCGCGCCAGGTGTACAGCACCCCCGCGGTGGACACCCACCACACAGCTTCGTTCGTGGCGCAGAGGCACTGACGCTGCACCGCTTCCTTTCCGAGGTCAACGGACCAAGTCGAGCACATTCTTCCTTCCACAGCTGATCAAAAGAAGAGAATTCGTGCTATGCAGGCGCGGCGTTGTTCTCGCGGCAATCCATTGTAAGGAGCGGAAAAGGTCTCGGGAGCAGAGGGAGAACAGAGAGGCATGGAATTAGCAAACGACGAAGATCTTCGCAGCTAACGGCTTCATTTTCGCTTCTCGTTTCAAGCGATAGCGAACGTCGTGGAGGGTTAACTTGTCACATACGTATAAATAAGAATAATAACAAGCAACCACCGACGCAATCAAAAATTCGTAAGACAAATACGGAGCGTACAGCAGCACGGGATGCACATACGCATATATATATATATATATATGGTGAGGGACACATACCTTTTCGGTTTCTTGTCCTTTTTTAAAAAAAGAAAACTTGTAAAGCTGAACAGCGGTCATTGGGAAACGCGTCATAGCAGGTTTTATTACGATCCATTTACACCGAGTTCTCGTTGGCCATCTCCTCACCGAAGAGCTGCACATGATTCAGAAAGAGCTCATTTCGTGACACGTTCGCCATATCCTCCTTCGACAGCCACGCACTCGCCACCCCGGGCGTTTTTACGCCATCCGTATGTTGTCCTTCTGCGCTGTGCGGTCTCGAATGAAAAGGAGGTGAGGCGTTTCCCAGTTCAGCCTGCAGCGCCGCCTCCAGCTCATTCATGTGTGCCAGCAGCGTGGCAGCCTCTTCCTCTTCCTCCTCGGACTTTCCATCCGAGGCGGCTACGCTGTTGTTGCTGCTTTCTTGAACTGCGTCGTAGTCGTCGGTTGGGTCATCTGATGTTTCACTGTCCAGCCGCGCGCCATTAGGGCATGAGCTCATCGTGGTAGGAAGTACCACCATGGAAGACTCGCGAGGGTTGGGTTGGTGCTCGTCATCCAACTCCATCTCCGCTGCCGACAGCAACGATCTAGGAACTTGCGCGTACTGCTCTCCCACCTCACGCACTGCGCTCAAAATCCACTCGGTCGAAGTGCCGCGAAACGTCACAGGGAGAGGGGCAAAGAGGTTTTGCTCCAGCGTGCAAAACGTCGAACCGCGACGTGTGTCGTTAAGGGCGGTATCAGTCTCGCCGTTCCAAATGAAAAGTTCCTTTGCCTCCTGCTGTGCAGACTGCATTTGATCTCGCACCCACGCCAGGTAGCCCTCGGAGTGCATACGGACACCATCTTCCCACAACGAGGGCAACGACGACGGTGGTGCTACGACGCCACGAGATGGGGGTCGGGTACGCAGTGCCGCCGTCCAGCGCTGCAATGCCCACGACGCCTTGATCCCTAAAACAATTTCCTCTTCGGTGAAGGAAACGCGGTGGTTGCTCGCTGTGCCTCTGGAGTCGGACCCATTGCGTTTCTCCTCCTCTTCACACACGCACCCCTGCGAGGCAACGACGGCGGCGTGGCGATGAATAAATGGTGCCATCAGCGTCGACGGCAACTCACACTGGCACAGCAGCAGCGTAAAGACGTAGCGCGACATGGGCGGCAGCGGCACTCGCACGGCGCCCTTGTTGGACAAGAGGAGGTCATACTCGTGCAGAAGGTCCGCTAACCGTTGCGACTCCTCCACGGCAACGTCGTAGCGCTCTCGTAGTTTTTTGGCGGAAGAGGAAGAACAAGAGGAGCGCTGCCTTTCCCTCGAGAGGGGGAGAAATAAGTCAGGACACGCAGACGGCATCACCACCGGCTCGGCATGATCGTCGTCGTCGTCCGCGCCGCCATCGCTACCTGTTGATCTAAACTTGGTCGTCTTCACGTCGCTGAAGTGCCGGCCAAACGGAAACAAAGGCCGGTCGTGGCAATGAAACACCACACAGTCGTGCAGCAGGCGGGGCGACAGCCGAGACAGGAAGAGCGCGACCGTCGGAGGCACGGCAACCACTGCCTTGTGGAAGGCCCCCTCATACAAGCCCTGCGGAACGAGCTGTGTGCTGAACAAACTCTCCAAACGGTTTGTGAGAGCCTTTTCCAGTGTGGCACTCGCCAGAGCGGCGTCGAGGACGGCACCAAGCGTACAGAGAGGCGTCAACGCAGGCACGTCCTTTGATTCGTCAAACCACAGTCGTGCCAGCTCGCGTCGAAGAAGGTCGTCGACGACGGCAGCTGCGTTTGTGGGGAGTACGGCTACATAGCCCGCCTCGGTCCACCAGCACCGACCACACAACGCGCGTGTGTAATCCCACGCCGAGCCGACGCCCCAGCGGCGCAGCAATGCGTCTTGCGTGCGTGCGTCCGCCTCCACCCCATCAGCCAGGAGCACCAGCAGCGTTTCCTCGCGCTCCACGAAGTTCAACGAGTTGTGTTTTTCTTCATTCATGCTTTCCGGCGGCGGTGGCCACGTAGAAGGAGGTGTGGTGGACTTGGTGCTGCTGGGGTGTGTGCTGCGACAGACCTCCATGTGGGCAGCCGCGCCAGGCCACGCGCGACACAGATCTGTCACGATCATCGCCACCACCTCCACGTCCCCTTCGCAACCGGCGACGTCGAGCAGCGCTGTAAAGAACCAAAACAGCGGAGGCGAAGAGGTGAGTGTGGCGTTCCTGCGGTGGAGGGCATCGGCACGGTCGCACGGCTCTGCCGAGACACGCCGCAGGGATTTAAAAAGCTCATCGCGCGTGCAGAGGAAGGCAGTGGACGTCGCACGCCAGCTTCGTGCGCTCTGCTGACGCAGTCGGTGTTGGAGCTGCCACACGGAGGGCGGGTAAGGCACGTGCGGATCACGTCGGATGGCGACGAGCACAAACACGCGCATTAATATATTTTTATTATGTGGCTGTTGGGATTATGAACTGTACTGTTCATCAGCGCAGTCAAACAAACACACACACACACACACACACAAGGGAGGAGGAAGGAAGTCCAGAGAAGACCGCAGCAGTTCCACGTCGTTTCCTGTCATGACGCCGCAGCTCAGGTACTTCTGTTGAGGGGGTACGCGCACTGCATCCCACCACAAAAGAAGGAGAAGTCCCCACTCGATAACGCAAGAATTCGAAAGCAGGTGAAACTGATAACACTGCCACGCAGCTTCAGCCACAGCGGGGGATTTCTTTTTTTTTCTTTTTTACCTGTTTTGGCTTTTTGAGATTTAATACGAACGGAAAATGACCAGCGTCTGTGGAAACACGAGGGAAAAGGGAAAAGAAAGCTGAAGGAAAAAGGGAAAATAGAATTGCCGGTAGACCTTCGAATCTCTGTATATGTATAAGTATGTGTGTGTGTGTGTGTGTTACCCTAACAGCAGACACAAAACCAAAAGGTGTGGACACCGAATCTTGGGCAACGGAGCAAGAACTATATAAACAAACAGACAAAAAAAGGCCCACTGGTCCATCGTACTGGACAGCCCCTGCACGAGAGCAAATAGGAGGTATAACGCAGAGAAACGAAGAAGTCACGAAAAGGAGAGCGACGACGGCGAAGACAGCAAGTCGTTGCTCGTCACAGAAGACCGACACAGAAACACTCATCCAACCTACTAAAAACAAAATGCCGATGATCTGCTACGCAACACAGCACGATACCCGATATTTCACACTCCGCACTGTAAAGATTGACTTCGACGCGCGGAAGACAGGCCTGAGACATTGTACAGAAGGGAAGCATACGAGCCGGCGCAGAAAAAACTGCTACCGCGAATAAAATGAGAAACAAAACCAGCGCAGCGACGCACACACACACAGGAGAAAAAAAGGTCGCCAAAAACCGCAAATAGAACTTGAAAGAAAACAAACAAAGGCAACGACACAAACTGAGCAACAAACTTCCTACTAGCCTATCAACAACACGTAAATAGAAGCATTTTACAAGAGGGAAATGGCACAGTGGTAGCAGCAAAAACAAAAACAGAAGTACCTTCTGAATAAAGCAGACACTTTCCGTTAACGCTCAAGTCGGCGGTGAGGAAGTGTGCTACCGCGCTGGATTTATTTCTTTCTCCTACAAGGGGTGCCGCGTCGGCGTACTTCTTTTTCCCCATGTGCTTACGCCTCGCAGATGACCTTCTGCCAGTTGTCCACCATGTGAACGGTATCCAGCAGCGGCCCCGGGTTGGATTTGGAGAGACGCAGATAGTCGATCATGTTGCCAGACAGCTGCTCCGTCGTCTCCTCCAGCTTGCCGACGCGATGCGCCATCATGCTTGCCTCTCTTGACTTGTCGTCCAAATAGTACATCTGCACATACGCGTGCGCAATGACTGATCGGGCCGTCATTAAGGTGTTCTTGATGAGTGTCATCACCTCCAGCGCGTTGATGCCGCAATCCGGCCGAGGGAGAACGGCGCCGACGTTGTGTGACGGCTGCTGCGTAATCGTCGCCGTGTTGTCGACGGCGTAGGTGTCGATGAACGTCGCATCTCGCTTCGCGCTGTCAAGGTGCAGGGTGTAACGTTCGAAGTGATACAGAAAGCGCTTACTCTGGCGGACGCCGTCACTGTCATCCGTGGACGACGCCGCGCTCGCGTTCTTGCAGGAGTAGTAGTCACCGGTGTGCGAGCTCCAGTCGTGTCCGCAGACCCAGCAGAATTGATGTCCGCACTTGCACGTCATGTGGTTGCAGCCGCCGTTCTTTTCAATATCCTTATGACACTTCGAGCAGCGCTTCATCTTGACCAGAATGAGAGCCATGCTCAACCCTTCCGCGGTGCAGTACTGGCGCCATCTGCGCATGTTGTCGCACGTCGCCGGTCGGTGCGGCTCGCTGGCGCAGCGTAGACAAAATGCTCTGTGGCACACATCGCAGGTGACGCCCTGGCCCTGCAATGGGGGCACCTCGACGTGAATAATTCCAGTGCACCCCACCGGGTTGGGACACCAGTACAGCGAGGGACTGGCATGCACAAATCGCGAGAGGTACTCGCGGTAGACTTCGGTCATGACAGATGTTGCCTTGTCGCTGCCGTCGTCGAGCAGCTGCATCATGCAGCGGATGCCTACCACTTCCTCACAGTGCAGCGCAGGACAGTGGGTGGCGAGGAGGTTGCTGTGCACGTGCGCTTTGATGTGGTCCTGCCAGCACTCCTTGCAGAAGTAGTGCCCGCACGACGAGAGGCAGGACACCTCGTCCGATGCGTAGTCCAGCGCACAGATCTCACACACAATCCGCGTCCCTGGCGGGCCGCTGCGCAGCGTGTTCTCGTGCGACGCACTTTCCGGGGTGAGGCGCAGCTTCCGCAGCACCGCTTCGGGGTTCTCCACGTAACGCTCCAGTGCAACATCTCTTGACCAGAAACAATCGTCTAAAAGCAGCGTAGCTGCACTGGCAGAAAGGCAGGTGATGCGCGCCACCTCGTCCACCACGGCGGCCTGCATCTCGAGCACCTCTTTCATCGCCATCGTACGCGCCTCGCCTTTCCTGTCGGGCACGGCATCCTCGTAGGTGTAGCCGTCGTCGTCGTCGTAGTCGTCGTCGTCATAGTCGTACATTTTAATATCTAATTTGTTTCGCTTCTTCTTCTGCTTTTGATAGCTTAATTTCTTTCTCTAAATACGGATGGGCCGAGGTAGCAAACGATTACGACTTTGTAATGAAGTTGGATTCAAAATAACACTCGCAATATCCATAGGTATCCGAAAAGTTGGTGTTTCTGCAGTAGCATTGAAAATTGCCGTCGAGGAGTTCTTGTGTAGGGTTCTAACTCACGGTGTCGAGAGTGGAAGCGGAATGAACCGCTATCGAGCAGACACGGGGGCCGGTTCAATAAATATATATATATGAGACGTGTGGGGTAAATTTGCAAGCGCAATGAAGAGGCTTGGTGCTCCTATGCAAAAAAAAAGGATTATGGTAAGCAAGCGTACGGAACAGTAGGAAGTGTATACAGTTGAGTTGTGTCTTCCAAGCAGAACCCTACAGGACATGGAAGAGCACTGAGGCAAAGGCTGCGGAGATTCTACGCTGCACATACCTTTCATGTAAGGCTCGATATATAAGGCTAGGGTAGGGGCCACTGCAGTTTAGTGCAGCGACGGTAGGCAGGCACACTCGCCTCTTCACAGTTCAGACGAAGAAGGAGGAGAGAACAGCCTTCCCACCCTTCCCCCTTCCACCCCTACAATTCTGATCTTTCGCACGTGGGCAGCGGCACTCCCAAGCAAAAACGTACTTTCTTTTTTTCGTTTGGCGAACGTAATCGGAAAAAAGAAAATCGAGAGGTTGTTATTCTGTTAAATGTAACCGAATTTTAGTAAGAAAAAGTAGCAAGCAACCATGCGTCACCACGATCTCAGAGGTCCAGAGATGAGCAGTTCACGCCGTTTTCCCCACAGGCTACCACTCCCATAAATGTGTCAACACAATAGACCACCCATATATTTCGAAGTGCTCGCCCTCTCACTATCAGGAGAGGGAAGAAGTCATCGGAAAACAAAACCCACGAAACGACCACCACAACAGCCGATACACGAGTCAACGTCGCACACACACGTGCGCTCTCCTCCGTTTTTTTTTTTAGATTTAATTTATGATAGCACTAGAAGGAAAGGAAAAACAAAAAAAGGACAGAGTCCGACGCCTAGGGAGTTCATGCAGCGACGTCAACCACCTCCAGTTTGGGTTTTCTCTTCGAAGATACGAAGAGAAAAAATACACACACACACAGACGCATACGAGGGAACAGGAAAACGGAAACACGTACAATTGGAAAGCTACACCGATGGCAAAATGGGCGCCACCACAGAGACACGTTTTACGTGCCTAGCCTCACTGTCTCCGCAACAACAACTAAAAGAAAAATGGAGAAACAAAAAATAACGGAGATGGTTGAAAACGTCAAAAAAGAAGACGCAAGGAAAATTAGTATCCAAGAGAAAAGAGAGAAGGAAAAAGGGGCGCATATGGATGCAAAAGTACAGGAGTTTCTTTTTTTTCTCTTATAGAAACGACAACACCAATTTAGGACTCGTTCAACGAGCACAACAAACCGATAAAGGAGAAATAGAGGAGAGATGCGTTGCTGCGAGCAGAAACAAAAGGCCCACACGTCCGGCAGCTCAGTAGCGAACCCACTCGACGCGAGACGGACGCATCAGCGAGAATCGAAAGAAGAAAGAAAAGAGAGAGAACATTTTCGTTTCTGAATCGTGTACCGGATGAGACATCGTTGTTTCCGATTTCCATAGACCAAATGGTCGCCAAGTGAAGCGTCGCGGCGTTACGATGATACGTTAAACAGGGGCGATCCGTAGCGATGTTTAGCCTTTCAAGATGACCAAGAAGAAAAATAAACAAACACCAACGTTTTGGTAAAGCAAAAAAAGAAAGCGGAATGTTTAAGGTGTACATCGTGCAGGTTTCTTCGGTCCTTTTCTTTTGTGGTTCTGGTTACTGCGGACGAAAAAGAACAAGGAAACAAAAAAAGAGGTGGGGCAGGAGCACCGATGAGCTTATGCTTCGCCAATCCCCTTTTTTCTTTTTGCTCCCTCTCTCTCGCCGGGTAGTATTCCCAAGACAACCGATACTGACGACACACGTGGCACGCGTCCTTGCACCATAAGCGGGAGGAAAAAGAAGAAAAAGAGAAACGAGAAGCACGGAGAGTCACTTCGGTGCCTAAAGAGGTAAAACCCAACAACAAAAGAGCACGTGGAACAACGCAGTGAAGAAAACAAACGTGGCTAATATATATATATGATCACCAGAAAAGGAAGAAAAGGCATTCGAACGTGCGTACAATAATAAAAACAATAATAATAATGATATTGAGAAAATACTTACACAGCATGCATGGAAGACAATTCTCTCAGGGTGGTCTGGACGACAAAGGACACCAACTGCATTCCAGGAAGAAAAGGAGGTGATAAAAAGAGTCTAGGCGTTGTTGTTGTTGTTTTTTACTTTACGAAAAACAGTCGAAGTTGTGGGTTGCGTTCAGCGAATTTCACCCATCTAAATAATAACGGATGTAATCGTTCGACTGCGAATGCTTTCATGCGTTACTCTTCCTTTCCGCTACCTATTACTCTTGAACACCCTGTTGCGAGGACGTGCTACGCTCTTTCGTTGACTTCACGTCCCGATCACCAGGCACCTGTACTTGCCGGTAGGGAACATAGAAGTTGTTTCGTGAATATATATGAAAAAAGGAAGAAAAAAAAATGCAGACTCTCGCGCTTGATAGCAAAAACAGTTCCGAGAGAAAAGTATCACCATAGCTAGCTTATAAAAAAAAAAAAAGGAACGGTTAAGTACAAAAGTAAAAAGGAAAAGAGTTCACTGCCTATTTGGTCAAAACACATTTTTGGGGTATGCCTGCTCTTCGCCGTCTCTCTTACCGTTTCCTTTTGCCGTTATCTGATCATCATGACGCGTCATTCGGACCTCCGGGCGCGGCGAGGAAAGAGTTGTTGCCTCTGCTGGCGAAGTGGCTGTTCACAAAGCCAGGGGCCTGCTGCGCCGACGCATTACCCGCCGGCGGGCCCTGCAGGTGGTGGGCAGCACTGAAGTGCGTGTTCGAGCTGGGCGACCCTGGATGCTGTAGGGAGGCCACCACGGGCGTGCTCGGGCCCGTCGAGTTGTGCCCGGAGGAGACCGGAGTGACGGGTGCGTACGGGTTGTGGCGGTAGCCGCTGCCGATGCTGAGGCTGCTGTTGGCGCGGACCGGAGTTCGGGGTGTGTGACCACCGGCATCCGGCACGCCGCCGCAGCAGCTCGAGTCGCCGTCATGGCCAAAGCTAAAGTTAAGCGGCGTGCCGGGGCTGCCGCGACTAGGCGTCTGGTCGACACCGAAATGCGGGAAGGAGTTGCCGCCACCCGGGTTGAAGGTGACGTTGAGGAAAGAGCCGATCGAGTTGGGCGTCGGAGGCTGCGGCGGCGGTGGCGGCTGCGGCTGGAAAGGCGGCGGCGGGGCCTGCGAGAGTTGCGAGGACTGCATCGGCGGCGGTGGCGCTGGCGGCGCGCTTTGCGGATTCATCGCAGGCGGTGGCGGCATCACGCCCGGTCGGCCCGGCGCGAAGTGGTGCGAGATGCTCGCGAAGGCGGGCGGGTGGATAGAAGACCCCGGGCCCTCCATGTGCATCTCCGAGGCGGAGAAGGACTGCGTCAGGCCGTTGCCGTTGCGGCGCAGCGGGGAGTTGGGCGAGCTAACACTGCTGGCGGAGCGGCCGTTGACCGGTGGTGGCGGTGCGACGGAGGCCAGCGTCGATTCCTCGTGCTGCTGCTCGCGGCGACGCCGACGCTCGCGCTTCGCCTCCTCGGAGTCGGCATACTTGGCGAGAATCGCGACCGCGTTGTTGAAGTAGGTGCGGTTGCCGTGCAGGCTGTTCAAGGCGCTCTTTGCCGACTCTACGGTGTCGAACTCCGCATAGACGACCCACACGCTGCCGCCGAAGTGGTCCTCGCGCATCGCGCAGTACGTCAGCGGACCAAAGCCGCGCAGGAACTGCTCCACCTCCATCTGCGACAGCTTCAAAGGGATGTTGCGCACGTAGAGGGCGTTGCTCTCCTCCGTGGCGACCTTGCCATCGTGCTTCGACGGGAAGATGCAGAGGTTGAAGTTGTGCCCGTGCAGCGTGACGTGCGTCTTGTTCAGTTTCTCGTAGGCCTTGCGCCCATCGTCTTCTGACTCGAAGAGGACGAAGCCGAAACCTTTACTCTTGCCGGTAGTGGCATCGAGCATTACCTTGGCGCTGCTAGGGTGGTAGTCGACAAATATTTGTTCAAGATCGCTATCGGTCAGGTTGCGTGGCAACTTCGCCACAAACAAGTTCTGGAGGCTAGTCATCCTGTTGCTTGTGCGGTTACTGTTCCTTTTAAACGATTCTTTTCTTTTGTGAGTGTGCGATGTCGGTGAACGGTGTACGCCGACGAGTCGAGCTTCTAAGAGTTATTACTGCTGCAGTCTTTATATACCTTCTATCTCTTCCTTCCTTCCTTCTTGCGGGTTTTTTTTTTGATGGGGTTGAATGACGGGTACCCGTTGAGACGTGTGATGGCTCACGTATACGACACCTTCCCTGCTGTCAACCGGTTGTCAGCAAAAATTTTTGAGAAAAAAATGAAAAACTAAAAGAACGGCTGATCCTAATTACGTATTACCGCCGATTTCGCTTCGCGCGCGGATACAATGCGGCACCTGCGTGAGACGACCCTTAAAGCTGAAGCGATGCGATTTGAGCCCGGCGACACTGTCCTGACAACTCGGTCTGGACAGCAGACAACACACTTTCTGCCAAGAATGAAAAGAAAAGACAACGAAGAAGAAGCAAAGGCCGCGGTTCCACGATAGGGGAGATGCGTCACCTTGTCACGTAAGTGTGTGTGTGTGTGCGCGTTCGTGTACGTGTGGGGGTAGCTGTATGTAGAGTCTTTTGTGACCTTGCTTCTCAGAGAAGAGCACTGGCAAAGGGTTGGTGGTCAGAACGGCACGAGAGAAGGGGAAAAACACATATAGTAGAAGGATAAACAAGACGACAAGAATGTCTGGAGGTCGTATCGCGGTACAGGCGCTTGTTCGACAAAAGAATATATTTAATAGTGAGAACGAAAGATGAGATTCCTACACAAATGGTATTGTCTCCGTGAACCTACCCCCAAAGAGCAAGTCGAAACTCCACCGCTGCTACGGTGCCAAAGGAAGAAAGAAAATATATTAATAATAATAATAATAATAATAAAACACTAACGCTGCTTCTCCGGAGGCAAAGAAATGTGAATACGAGAAGGTTAAAACGGAGGCGCAAAAACAGACGACGGTGAACCACTTTTGAAACAGAAAACAAAAAGAAAAAAGGGGAAAAACGAAGGGAAAGCGAATTAGAACAAAAGTGGTGATTAGAGAGACTGCACTGGAGTGTGATGGGGAGTGGCGCGGCGATCGAACCGGTGAGGTCGGAAATGGCTGCTTCGTGTTGTTGTTTTTCTTTTGTGTGAGCTCAGATCGGAAAAGCACCGAATTTCGCCTTCCTATGGCCAGGGTTGATGCGCAAATATGTTGCTTTGGTATACGGAATCCGTTTGGTAACAAAAGAACGTTCTTTTAGATTGGATAGTGGAATCTAAGAACTATAAAACCAGGGCGAGAGTATATGAAAATACTGTGTAAGCGGGAAAAGTTTTAGAAAACTGCGTTGGCACACAGAGGTAAACCCCCCCAAAAAAATCAGGGGCAGCGACGTGGAGAACAGTGGGAAAAGAAGAGAGAGGGGAGGAGAGAGCACCACACCGGAAAATGAATTCGCTACACGCCCTTCTTTCTGTCTTTTTGTTTTGGAGGGGGGGGGGAGGGGGCGACATGAGTAGAAACGTATGTGCTCGACAACAACAGAGCAGCCGCAATGAAAGGGAAGAAGCGCGACATTGCACTCCATCACCTGTTCCTGCGAGACACGGTACATCACGTAAAAGACTCCCCCCCGCCCGTGACAGCGCG